GGGATAGTAGAGAATAGGACAGACAGCAGAATACATCAGACACGAGAAAGGCAATATGTCAATCAATGGAAGGGTAACTGATGTGATACAGCAATCTGTATATGGGGTAAAATTGGGAGTTCATAACCCACCTGAATCCAACTGTGAAATATGATGTATTAAGAACTATGTAATGTTTAAGGGTAACTGATGTGATACAGCAATCTGTATACGGGGTAAAATTGGGAGTTCATAAACCACCTGAATCAAACTGTGAAATATGATGTATTAAGAACTATGTAATGTTTTGAACGACCAATAATAAAAAAAAAGAATACCGATTATAGAATATCTTCATAAAACAGAATAGGAATTCACGTTCATATTTATGATACATTGCGATGCATAATGCCTCCTAATTGTAAAAGCAGGTGAACCCAGGATTTTGCTTTCTTTCAGGTCCTTGCTCCTCTCTCCATTCCCTATACCTCAGAGCTATTTATTTTTATGAACCCCAACAGAAAAACAAAATCCACTCAGTACATACTGCATCCCTGTAATTGTAATATGAGTCTTATTCAAAGTCATCTGAAGAACCTAGATTAGCTGAAACCAATAATCCCAAAGAAATTCATTATAACACTTGAAGTATGTGCTCCAAAGTTCCAACACAGTTAAACTGACAGGCTCCTGCTCCCTAATACCACTGAAACTGTGGAATCCTATGAAGCTTGAGATTCCAAATTAGTTAGGCCAGTAAATTACAACCACTTTCCAAATCAACAAGGCAGTGATATTCATGTTTTAGCATCTCTGTACTGATGGGTTAAATTAACTATGCTTTCAGTGGTTTAGTTTCTCTCACAAGAAGATGTTGGACCAGACATTGAATTCCAAGTGTTTACCAGCTCATCAAAGCCCATTTTTTGACCGAACAAAAGCTCCACCCCCAAAATCTCCCAGAGCACTTCTTTCTCTTGGAATGCATGTAGTCAAGGGTGATGAGAATGACTACTAAGAATCCAATAGAAAAGTGATTTCAAAAACCCATCAAATGTTTCTATTATCTTCTGAATTTATACTACCTTAAATAATGAAATGACCAGGAGACAGTTTACTAGTTGTGAAAAATCAAGGATTCCTAGAACTCTGATTCTATGTGTGTGCAGGGCCCTGTTTTCATTTTTCTCACATTTGTGCTGCTTCCTTGGAATTCCCCCATTAGGACACCAAATCCTTTTCTATATCAGCAGGAGACAAACATTTTTGGTGGCACTTTGTTCAGTAAGTCACTGGTTTTTATATCTACATAATTTTTCACTCTCATGTTTTGTACCACTCAGTAATCAGAAAAACACTATGAAATCAATATTCCTGGAAAGAAAAACAGAAATATATATTTCTTGGGTCTTCATGTTTGCACTACTAGAAATCTTATACTGATCTCCTCAGAGACAGATTTATTGAAAAAGTGGTGCTATAAGTTTGAAGGTGTAAACATTAAAAATAAAGTGGACTGTTCATACACGTCACTATATGTAATAAGTCCATCAGCCAAGAGAATAAATCACATGATTTATGTAATTTTACCCATCCAGTGGCTGCCCAGGATATGGAAATATCTCTACCTGTGTCTAAGTCCCAGGAGGAGGGCATGAATTAGTAATCCTTTCATCTCTTGCTCATGAACACTAAAAGTAAGCAATACTTAGTCATAAACTAACAGGATTCATTGAGAAAATCTTTAAAATTCTCTTTTAATACTTTACTGGTAAGCTATATCTCAACTGAAGGAAAACCTTACTAATGAACACAAGTCATTAAGGTTAAGTCTCCTGAAATTAAAATTCAAACTCTTCAATTCCAGCACTGTTCAAGTTTTGCAAAATCACTACAACCACCCCTCAACTGCATTTTCACTTTTTCCAAGGAGGAATCAAGAATTATATTTTATTTAATAACATATGTGCTTGAAAATATATTTTCCATCTAACATAAGGGCAGTAAAATTTTTATGTCTTATATGAGTAGAAAAAATGTCTAGGGCTTAATTCCTACTGATTGCGTTTAGCAAAATCTGTTTTTCCTCTCCATCTTTCTGTAGGATACTGATAATCATTGCTGAATATCTGAGGCTCAGAAACCTCTGCATTGAAGAAACAATGTTTTTAAAATGCTTTCTTGGAAAAATAATCTTCTCATTGCAGAGATCTAACTGAATCATTTAGTTTAGGAAATGAATGAAATAGAGAGAGGTTATCTGACTATATTTCCTACCTCTGTATTCTGAAAATCCTGAAAGACAAAGTTTCTCTTAGTCCTTTTGAAATGGGAGTAGTGGTGATTGTCTTCTAAGTTGCTATCTCTTCTCCTTTTCCTGCAAATAGATTGCAAAGAATTGATCTTTCAATACCTAAATTGTAAGCCTATGCCAATACATATTTTTGATTTCTTGTCTAAGAAATTATGTCTGCATCTGCTGCTCAAATATATTTACAGTTGTAGGTACATTCACAAGCACTCAGGAAAATTACAAACAGGAACTCTCTGTATAGTGATGCTCTAAGTTTATTTTCCCCAGAGAGCTTCAGAAGTCACTGACACTTGCAAATGAACACATTTTTATGGCCAAGTTTTCAAAATTTACCTAAACACATTCATTGCCTTTATTCTCTGAAATTACAGTTCCAGGTTACATGATTTTAACCCCCTCCATATGATAACTCTTAAGACTGTGTAGCTTCTAGTGTCTATTTGCTATTAAAGCTCTTATGAAATGGTGTAGAGATACTAAAGAGACATTCCCTTTGTGCTGTTAAGATACTACCGTTGCTATATCAGCAACTATTATGACATAGTGGTTACTTCAATTGACTGTTACCATGAGATTGTGGCTAATGACATCTTTAAAACATTCATTTTTCAACATATTTTTAATGGTTGGTAAGATTACATCTTTAGCCTGAAGTCTCAGTAAGCAATCAGATTGCAGTGTTTTACATCATAATTCTGGTAAATACCCTGTAACTCATCACACATTCTGTCCTACCATCTACTTTGACATTTCTTTTTACTGTTTGGTACTCCTGAGGATGGCTGAGACAACTCATTTTCATAACTTCTTTACTCTTCAACTGTCATCTGTGGGAAACTGTATTTCAGGTAGTCCAATGATCTCAACTTTTTTTAAAAAAAAATTAAACTCATTTATTTTATCTTTTCTTTTTAAGAAAAGCAATGTATAATAGGAAATATAGGAGTTCCTGTGCCTGAATCTGCCTCCCAGCCATCCATTTATTAAGCCTGACCTACTGTCTTATAGTTGAAGAAATAGCAAGATCAGAGAAACAAAGTGACTCAGATAGCAAAAATAAGTAAGGCTGGTAGAACTGGAACTGGAAGGAAAGTTGTCTTGAGTCCTGTCCCAACACCCTCCATGTGAGCCTTCAGGATGTAAAAAATGGTAAAAGACTGCATGTCCAAATCAAACAATCCCTTTATGATAAAGAAGTTGCCAGTATATATGCATTCAGATTACTTGTCTACGATGTTATTTCCAAGGAAATTTTTTATAGTACACATGGGTCCTCCCACCCCATGATAAAGGATGTTCTGGCACTTTTAACTAGACTTGGGAAGTGAAAGTCCTTTGCAGCCAGAGCATACTTGTTTCACACATACTGTCTGCTGTCAAATTACCATGTTCTTAATTCCAATACGTTCATAATTTGGCTCCTAAATTCATAATTACTGCATTCTTCATATCCTAAGGTCTTCATTACATGACACAAGCCAATGCAGCAGGTCAGGTTTACTAGCTTTTTACCACTGTACTAAATAATGTTAGGATTTCTTCCCGAATCTCAGTTTTATGAATTCACTTGAGCCATGGCAGGATCCTTGTGGAAAGACATGCAATATTAACAGCTGATCAAAACATGGAGCAATAATTAAAAAATCTATCATATCTACAAAGGGGATTACATACTACATATCTTATTCATTTAATGTTCATTGAGATTATTATGGAATAAAGGAAGACCTGTGAATCTGGAGATTCAAGCTTTGTCCTGAGTCTGCTACGAGCTTCCTAAATGGCCTTCACTAAGACAAATGAACCAGCTAAATGCAGTAAAATCGATTTTTATATATATTTGTATCTATGTGTACACATGTGTTACAGGGCACTAGCCCTGCTTCAAAGCTGAGGCAGTTGCTGAGGCCCTCTCTTCACTGGTTCTTTGAGATCAGGCCAGAAACATTTCAGATGTGTCTCTCAGATAGTAGGCATGAGTTTATTAGAAAACATAGGAAAAGGGGACACTCTCAAGGGAGACAGTGGGTCTTCTCATAGTGAAGGATGGTGAAGGATGGTGTGTCCTTTTGCCCTCTAGTTTTATTGGGGGTCCCAGGGACTTTCCTTTAAAGTCACACCCACATCCATATTTTGACTTTTGACTAAGAACTTCATGGATCACCTCCAAGACAGAATGATTTGTTGCTCACAGATTTAGAGTTTTAAAGGAATTGAGTTCCCCTGTTTTTGCCTCAATTTCCTGCACTCTTATTTGGGTTATTTCCCACCGAATTGCCCTCAGCAAGCTTTCTTTGTGAGGGTCTTGATATTTTGGTTGCCAGGGTGACTGGGGATCCAGATAGATTTTGTGATGAGCGGTCTAGGCTATCTGCTAGAGTGTGACATGATCTTAGAACAAAGGTTTTTCTTAATGGGATGTAATTATGGTTGGGGAGGTTTCCACATATCAGGCCCCCACCTTCCAGGTGCTTGCCTGTCAGATAAGGTAATCTGGTTTTCAGTTGTCCTCCTCCATCCTTCACCTTCTCCCCCATTCAGGGCTGATTAGCTACTTAACATTTGTGTATGCATATGCATACAAATGAATGTAGGTGCATATATTCGTATATACATGATAGGATAGAAATGCTAATTATTTTCTTACACAAGGTTTGTTGATCACCAACTTAACTAGGTATACCCCCCCATAAAAAAGTGAAAACACACACACACACACACACACACACAAAACAAAACAACTCCTGCCCTCACAGAGCTGTCTGGTGATGATTGTGTTTGGATAATAATATTTTGAGTATTTTAATGTTTTGAACTCGTTTTACTGAAACTCTCAACATTTTACAATAGGTTGCATTTCTTTAAAAAAAAGTGACCAATAATATGAAAATGATTTTTCAAAACGTAAAACTGAATATATAAAGTGGAGCGTTGAAATCACGATGTAATATTAATTTTATTGGTTTTAAATACATCTTCCTGAGTGTAAAACCTCTAAACAAATTTATCAGAAGATATTATTAATGGTTATGGCTTAGTGATAAATCATGGACAAGGTTAGCTTTCTTTAACACTCTTTATCCACCTAACAAATGTTCTACAGTAAGATTTAATGACTCATATAAAGGATGAAAAATATGTTGATAAAGGTTCATAAAACCCCAAGACAACCTGGAAAGAGAGAAGATCAGAGAAGGAGAAATACAATCTAGACAGAACCTCCAGAGAATTGCTAATTTGAAAATCAAAAGGATTTTGTTCCCAAATGGTGAGTTTTCCTGAGGGACTCTAGTAGAAGCCACAACCAACTCACAGCTTCAGGTCCTGTGTGACTCAAGACAGAGGAAAAATCAGCCGGTTCACCAGAAAAAGGCTCCGTGGCGTTTTTTTCAAGCACGAAGGGAGGGGGAAGAGCCGCTCAGAGCCAGTGTACGACGCAACACTGCCATCTCCAGGCCGGCGAGAAAAATTATCACCAACTTTGGAGGAAAAAACCCACCTATTCCGCTGTTTATCTTCCGAGAACTCGGAGACATTGGCTGAAGAAGCCAAGCGAGACCAAAGGATGGTCCAGTATCGCCAGAAGTGGGTCAGGCAACCTGACCCCAGCGCAGAAGCCATCTCTAGTATCACCCTCGTATCCACAGCAACACCATCAAGAAAAAGACGCAGCTCAAAGGCGGTTGAGGAGCGCGGGGTGGGGTGGGGGGAGTTGGGGGTGGTGGTGGGGAAGCTAGTCTAGGATTGGCGGGTTCTGGGCCTGCGTGTAGGAACCCAGTGAGGTCGTAGCCAGTCTCTCGCTTTGTGTTGGCCTCCATTTTCTTTCCTAGTGAGGTCGTTAACTGTCAGTTAAAGGAAGGACTGGTGGTGTTTTGAATCTGCTGCCAGGCTGCCCCAGCCATGCCTGTGTCTTCTCTATTGTCTACTTTACCAACAGCAGCCCTTCTCATGATATTCTCTGATATTTCCTTGAGAAAACAAAACCAGATAGGAACTCTTACCGCCTTCCAACAATACTGAGTCTATATTTGTAATCTGTGGAAGAAGTGAGTTGATCTTATTTGAGGTCAAGCCCTTCACCAGGATCCTGTGCATTTCCATCTTCTTAAGGGATGGACTTTTGCAGTTATAATTTTCTCCTTTGTTATCATGTTCTCTATGTATCTGTACTGGATTATACTATTATCTGTAAAGCCAGCAGTTCGGTGTTTAGGAATTTAGCTTTTTGGAGCAGATCTTGGTTCCTGCTGTGTAGTGAGACCCCAAGGGGTTACACTGGAGCCAGGGGAGCTATCATGAAGGATGGCTAGGGGCTAGGTGACCCTATAGCTGAGGCTGTGGAGCAGATAACTCTAGACAGGGGTAGGATGGAGTATGAGACCCAGATTCAGAGGGGTCTGCAAATACCAGCAGAGATGAGCTTGAGGCTTAATCAGCCAGGGAGCACTGGTTTTATTTATTTGTGGAGGTTTCCCAGTTTTAACTAATTTCCAACATATTTTCCTTTAATTTACTAAATATTTATTTCTTAAATTTGTTGCATTAAAATCTCTATCTTCTAAATTCAACTTCTAGTCTCACATAGAGTGAAATTCTAGTAACTACTTTATTTTGAAAGATGAACCTTATAGAAATCATGTTGTAGCAATTCCATTTTAGTTTTGTTTTTCTTTCTTTGTTTCTTTCTTTTTGTGGTGCTAGGGATTAAACCCAGGGCCTTGGGCCTGCGAGGCAAGTGCTTTACCACTGAGCTACATCTTTAGCCCCAGTTTTATTTTTCTTGATGTTGGGTTTTTAAGTTTCATTTTAGATGGGAATTATTGTGGCCCCAACTCTATTCAAACTAAGAAAACAGACTCTTCTATAATCTAGACAACATTATCTCTATTCAGCCATTTTGCATACTGGAATACTGGAATCTTGCCTTCACCTTTCTATTTTTTTCATCATCCAGTAATTGGAGTAGAGTGTGTGTTCAGATATGTAAAGCCTGTGGTTGTCAGATAAAATACAGGAAGCCAAATCAAATTTCAATTTCAGATAATGATTTTTTAATGCATCTTAAATTCAAATTTAATTGAACATCCTATGTCTTCTTTGCTAAATCTGGTGGCCTTACTGGCTTGCCAACTCAAGCTATATGAAGACTGAAGAACACATTCAAAGGTGACAGCTTTGTAAGTCTTTCCAGACTTTCAGTTATTCCTGGCTCACTGGAATATTTATGTCCCCTATACATGAATAGCTTAGCAATCAGAGTGTAAGGTATAGAGAGTTGAACAACTGTTACTGACTTACTTTTTATCACTCTACTTCAAAACTTCTCCTGTAAAACTTCTAACTGGCCTGCCAACATCCCCAAACCTAGTTCACTGCCTCCACATAGTAATGCTGTAAATTTTTACCATATGAACTGGAGAATGGACATGAAAACAATTCTCATTTAAAAGGCCACAAACCCACCCTTTTACCCAACAGAGTAGCAGTTTTCCATAAGTAAATACTTCGCAAGTTATTGTCTGTCAGTTCCATAAAATGATTATTTTCAATAATTTTGTACAATTTTCCACTTTTGTCCTGTGGAAATGAATTTTCCAAACTCTTCATACTACTCTTACTGGAAGAATAATCCCACAGGGTCTATTTTTAAAGACATACAGAAAGCCCTACTAAATGAGTCAACAAATGCTACTTGAGTACCTACAATGTGTTTGACATTTTACTGAATGTCAAAGGTACACGAGAATGATGCATCATGGTCAGTGTCTCCAAGGGACCTATAAACAAGCTGGTAATTAGTCTATAATGACATCATGTATTTTGTACATTGCTTGAAACTAAGTAGATTGAGTACAGAGGATTTTTAGTCACTTATTAATTAAGATGGATTTTATATAATTAAAGGCTGGAATATGCTCCCCTAAATATTTTTTTGGTACTGAAAACTGTGATTGCCTCTGTGTGTGGTGGCAAAGCAAAGTTCTGGTCATGCAACATATTGATGACTCAGTGCAAGTCTGTCTAGTGCCTGATACCAAAAAAAAAAAAAAAAAACCTCTCACATTTGATGTCAATATAGATAAACTCTGGATTACTATTTATTTCTATCAGGATCATTACAAAAGGTGAATAAATTAAGTCAGGAAGCATATAGTGATGCCCACCATGTTTCAAGGAATATTCTGGAAATGGCAAATTAAATAAGAATGACTCATAGTCCTTGACATCTGGGATCTCACCTAATTTTGATTTGGAAGGAAATGAAAGAAGTAAAAGCATATAACTTTTTAATATCACTTTGAGGAGTCATTGAGGCAAGACTTCATACTCTGGGTTCTGCTTTATTTTTTTAAATTAAAAAATTATTTTTAATTGTTGATATATCTTTATTTTATTTATTTATATGTGGTGCTGAGAATTGAACCCAGTGCCTCACACATGGCAGGCAAGTGCACTACCACTGAG